AAGAACAAAAAGAAAACAGGTAGTTACATAATATGCAGTCTTTGATCCATTCTCACTTCCAGCACACATCATTTTCTCTGTTATTGAATGGAGGTTGTTCCAGTAGTAGTAGGAGTTTCTGTAGAAGCAGCTGCATTTATTGTTCCCAAAAACTGATACATCAACTTCCTGGAAAGTATCAGGATAATAATAGTGTTCTAAAGATAAAAGTTTAAAAAGGTTAGATATTCATGAACAGTCCAAAACTGGTATTGTAAATTAAGAGATTGTAAAGAAATAAAGCAAGACTTACCATTTGTGCCAAAACCAGTGACCCAGCTGGCAGTTCCATCATAGAAAGTACTGTCTTCTGAGGCCAAGCAGACCGGTTGGATGTAGTCTGTGAAGTTAACAGGAGCTGACAGCTTTACAAGACAGATGTCATTGTCACCGACACTATAGTAAGCTTCATAATCTTGATGGCAGACGATTGAGTCAACTCTCCTAGTTTCTTCCCCATATCTTGACTGGTTGTTTGCACCCAAGTGCAAAACTGCACCACTGAGGTAAGATCTTAGAGAAGAGAGAACAAATAATATGGAATAAGAGTAATGCTACTGATTAGCACATTAACGATAACCTCATTATCTACCTCTATTGGAATTAAGTCACTAATTAATAGGTGGAGATAAAACTTTATCTTCTTGCTTTACTCTTTTAAATATACCCTTTTAAAATTTACCCTTTTACAGACAGAAAAATTTGAAGTAGAGTTGATTGAGAGAAATGAATGAGGCACAACAGAAGACATTCAGATATATTACTATCTGTTGGGTACTGTGGAACATTGTGTTTATCCCTACAAGCAAAAATACTAAACCACAGCTCCTTACCTTATTGAACAATGGGCAGCTGTCAGAACCCACTGATCTGTGATCAGGGAGCCTTGACAGAAGACCCCGCCACGGTGGGTAAGAGTGACATGCCATGGCCAAGCTCCTGGAGAGGCATCTTGCCCTCCTAGGATCCTGCTGTTGATTGGAGACCTGGCACAGGCTGACAACATTCACAAAGTCAAGAACAAATGATTATGATGCCATTATCTTTTTTTTGGATAAAATAGTGGGTTACACCGAAGAAATACTTTTTTTTCAGCTCAACAGGATATTTGCAGTTTTTGTTACTACATAGTACTTGAAATATTAACAGCAGTTAACAAAATGAAAACATCATTAAATGCTCTTGTTGTGTAATACATAAAAAAAGACTAGTTCTTACCATGTTGTGTGTTGATTCCTGAAATTTACACACATAGACATGTTAGACAAACAGGTAAGGCTAGATATTTTACAGCATCAGACGCAGACACAGATACTGGAACTGAAAAGCTTATCACTTGCTTATCACACACATGCACACACACTGCAATCACATTTCTCTAACCTAGTGGAGAATTACCATTGACTTCCATTCATTTCTAACCCATTTCAACAGCCATACTGTGACCCATGGCCTGCACCTAACCATTAGATGTTCATACCAAACCCTATTCCCAAACTTAGTCCTAAACCTAACATATAACCCTAAAACAGCATTTGTACCAATGTGGACAAGACATTGGTCCCAACAAGGAGCAAGCGGTCCTCACTGTGTGCTAAGATTTATGGAAAATGGTCCTCACAGTGTAACAAATACACACTTACACACACGCATACCAACTCTTGCCAGGTAGTGCACATATTAGATATTAAAGATATC